GGTGTAGAATACTTTTGACAAAAATGTCATGATTTCATAATCACTCAAAAAAGAAAAACAATGACAATCTAGATAACAAATTGTTGTATTTAATAGGAAAATGATAACTCAAATCAAGAAATCTTACAGGTGACTTAAGAATAGTTTCACATTCATACACATAATTTAATGGACCAGTAATAAAACAGTTTTCTCACTTACATCACCTAAGGATCGCTCTAGACATGAGGTCAACTTCATTAAACTAAGAGAGATGGCAGGAGACGGTAGGCTTCCCAAGGCATCAAATATTTCAGGAAACAACTATTTAGAATAATATACATATTAGAACTCATTCAATAAGAATCATTTCTAAAAACAATACTACTTATTGACATTTCAATCTGTGAAGATTTCAACTATATTAAAATGTTTTTGGTATAAGTGAATATTTTTCTTTAACTATTACAGTGCCTGAAAGTCAAAGAAAACACTTTAATGCTCAGGGAGTTCTTTCAAAGGTTTTTTTTTTATTAGATGCTTATCAAAAACTATAAATCTGGCATAATTGTGAACTGAAAAGTCAAACATCTTGACCTACATTTCATTCCCATTATGATTAGGTTTAGTTCCTAATAAACAGATAAACATAAGGCAGCTCAATCTACACTTAAAAGAACTGCTACAAATACAGAAGCAATAATACTCCTATTCCAAATTAGGAAATTCAATTTGTTTCAGAATTAGACTTGTTAAAAATACTGCTTTATGGTGGTCATTTAATGTCAACTGAAAAACAAAGAAAACCTAACAAAAAAGCAAAAATAAGATTTAGGTTGGACCCCAAACCACCTATCCGTCCTTCAACTCACCATTCACAAACAAAGCACCTCATCTCTGGTCTCCTAGCAACACCACACCACCTCTCTGTAAGGACTGTGTTCTGAAGTGGTCCATTTTTCTTCTGTCTCAGGATAGGCAGCCCTGTACTAAGCACTACCCCCTGCCAACTCCTGGTTCTATGAAATCCAAAACCTGCCTTTGCTCAAAGGGGTGTGTGGTTCAGCTCTGGTTCTTACATGGTAATTCATGGTAATTCAGGTTTCTCTTGCAACCCCCAAGCCTTCTGTATAGCTAAAGGGTCCAGATGGAAGAGATCGCTTCAAAATTGGCAAGTAATAAGGGTCTCCAAGTGATATTTACAGTCTTTTATTTCTAATGGTGTATAAAAGCCAAACCTCTGGAAAACTTGTCCACTGGAACCATGGTATATATTGAATTTCAAACTGCCCCTTGGTCAAAGATAAAAAGTGGAAATGGACGGCCTCACACACAGGGCCCAGCAGCCTCACGCTTGCCTGATGATCCAGACTCTGGTCTGAAAGGACAAGAATCAAGCTTCAGTACCACAGCCACACCGATCAATGGGGAATGTCTGAACCATGAAAAGAAATGCTTTAATCATGAAATTTAAACACAATCAATGACTGAACATACACAGCTATAATTAGTGAAAACAAATTACATGATGCTTATCTGATTATAAAAGAAAAATATATCACTAGTGAAAAATTTGCAAAATACAGAAATATTCGAATAGGAGACAGATATTTTATTCAGTGTCATTTCCTGTATGTTAGTTTACATTAAATCACACTGTACACAATAGTCCTTATTCACAGTTCCAGTTATCTAGGGTCAACTGCAGTACAAAAATGCTAAATGGAAAATTCCAGAAATAACCACTCATCTGTTTCAAACTGCATGCTGGTTTGAGCAACATAAGGAAATTCTGCACTATCCCACCCCATCTCACCCCTTTGTCCAGCACATCCATGCTGCAGACACTGCCCACTCACGCGTCACTCAGTAGCCATGTGGTTATCAGTTCTACTGGTGCTATCACTGCGCTGTGTTTCAAGGAACCCTTATCAGACACAGTGATGGCCCCAAAGCACAAAAGCAATGATGCAAAGGAGGCTTCAGGGAAAGAAACGTGGAAGGACAACAAACTGGCACCCTGTGGCAGTACTGCAGACCATGCAGGAGAAGACAACGTATGCATAGGGTTCAGCACTATGCATGGTTTTGGCATCTTCTGGGGGTCTTGGAACACATGCCCCAAGGATGAGGGGGGGTTACATTATAATAATGTAATCTGACTTTTTTAAAAATTTTTTTTATTTGTAGATGGACACGATACCTTTGTTTATTTTTGTATGTGGTGCTGAGGATTGAATCCAGTGCCTCACACATTAGGCAAGTGCTCTACCATTGAGCCACAACCCTAGCCCCTGTAATCTGACTTTTTAAAATTAACATTAGACTGAGATTTCTAATGCCAATCAGTTGTTTCAAAACATATTTGTAATATAAATTTTCGGTTTTACTGTTTAATAAGTTTGAGGTTGTACATTTTGTGAAAAACACAAAAGGGTGAAAGCCTCCCATGTGGCGCCCAGTTCTCCTCCCTGCTGCATCTACTGCTATTAATTTTCTGAGCATACCTATAAATCTATGCTTCTTTATTTTTCTCACTTAGCTCAGAAAGAATTCTGCATCAGATGAGCCTCCATTTTTATCAGGTCATAATACTCCACTATAAGCATTTATCATAACTTACTGAAATAGTTCTCTACTGCTTTATATCTGGCTGCTTCAGATTACTGATTTGTTTATTTAGCTAGGACACACAGTGCTCCATATCCATGAGTGTAATTTTCTTATAAATCCCTGGAAATTGACTTGGCAGGCCAGAATACAATCATTCGCAATTTTTACAGATGTTACTAAGTTTCCCAGCTCATATCCTTCTCCCCCCAAACATACAGATATAAATTTAAAGGAGGACATTTAAAATTGCTGAGTCTACCACTGGCCATTTCATACTCTTCATAGCAATGAATCACTCAAACGGTTCTCCTCTTGGGATCTCAGACCTACCCAACAGCCCGTCACCCAGCCTGCCTCCTGAAAGTCCTGCCCACCCCAGGTATCCAGCCCAGGCACACTTGACCTCACACTTCTCTGTCCTCACCCTGCTCTTTTCAGGCTGTCTCCTTTTCAAATTTGGCTGAGGACTGTGTTTTCACATAGTTTAAAGAAAAGATGCTGTGGCTAAAAAGCGAGACTTTATAACCAACAGAGCAACTGAGGTGTGGGGTACAAAGGGAAGCCAACCTGATCCTGCACAGCTCACACAGTCTGTGATTGTTTTCCAGCAGACTTCACCATTTTCGGTTACAATGTTATTGAAATCACAATTTCCTCTTACTTCAAACCCAAGTTTACAAATCATATCATACACTGAGGGAGAAAGACATGTGGTAATGGGATCTCCTACTAACATCTGAAAAATAAAACATAAAGAGAGTGTTTAGCAGGAAAGAGTAATATTAGTTACTATATATCTGAGTCACAAGAAAATTTTACCTTAGGCATGGAATGTACTAAAATCAGCTGCTCTTAACATGCTTTCTGAATAACAAATTTATTTTAACGCTTTAAAATAAATGTCTAAAGATTTTAAAATCATCTTCTTGACCATATAACTCACAGAAGTTCAGTGAGTTTTATGAACAGTGTATTATTCCTTTCACCATTTCTCATCAACCCAGCATGCCCAGGACATAGCACTGCCCCTGGTCATAAAAATGAATAACCCATTACTTTAGCAGCACATACTGTCCTGTTCCAGCAAAAACCACTATCAAAGAGGAACCACAGAAACTGTGGTATACAGGTGTATTAAGAATCGTAATGCAAAAAAAAAAAAACACCCCAAAACAGAGCATGGCTTTGAATTGAAAAAAAAAAAAAGAGGAATCATAGATCTGGGTCTCCTGCTAGAAGCCAGAGTTCTGCAACGCCCTCCAGCAACTCATGCAGGGACTCCAGACCTCAGCCAGAATGCCAGCCTCTCCCCACATGCGCCAGGACCCTGCCAGCACGCAGGGCATTCCCAGGAGAGCCCTGTGGCCCCGCCTCCACCCTCCCTCTCCGGAGCACCTGGCTGCGCACCTCCCTCCTCCCTCTCAGTGAGGAGCTCTGCATACCCCCTCAACCCTCTCTCTCAGAAAAGCCCTTGGTCCCGCCTCCAACCTATCACTCAGGGGACCCTGCAGCCCCGCCCCTCCTTCCCTGAGAAGTCATGCGGCCCCGCCCCCACTCACTGAGGAGTAGCCTTGGCCCCGCCCCTTCCTCCCTCTGAGGAGCCTTGTGGCCCCGCCCCTTCCTCTCTCTCTCTCTGAGCAGCAGCCCAGAGGCCTCGCACTCCTTCCCAGACGGGAGCTGTGGCCCCTCCTCGACCCTCCCTCGGAGGAAAGGCCGGTGGCTCTGCCTCTTTCTCGCCCCAGAAGAGCCACGTGGCCCCGCCCCTCGCTCCCAGAGGATAGTCCTGCGGCCCCGCCCCTCCCTCTCCACAGAGACGGAGGCGCGGTCCGTCTGCGGGGCTGGAGAAGCCCTCGCCCCAGCCCTCTGGGGGACGCAGGCCCTTTCCCAATCGCTCTTTGCGGGATGCACAGGTGCCGTGTGGGTGTCTGTCTCCTCTGGGGGAAAGCAAAACCCTCTTCAGTCTCCCTCTCTCTTCCTCTCTGCGGGGATGCACAACCCTTGCCGCCCGCCTCGGCCTCGTCCGCGCCATGGCAGCACGCCAGATGCAGGGGCGACCATGAGGACTGGCCAGCGGCTCGCGCAGTGCGCACAGCGTCCAGCCGTAGACGGGCAACCAGCCGACCCGCACACCCGCGCCCGCAGCTTTCACCTAAAGCGTCAAGCCGAAGCAACTGCTGGGCGCAGGCCCGCCTACCTCCATTACTTCCGGCTCCGCGCCTAGGCCTACGCGAATGGCGCACGCCTCCCCCGCGCCGTCCGGGCCGCTGGCGCTCCCATGACGCCACTTCCGGCCTTGCGGGGCTCCGGCGCGAGACTTCCGCTCTCGCGAGAGGGAGAAGCGTTGGGAGGCGGTCAGGGTGGTCGGTGCTGCAGCGGCCCCGCCTTCCTGCGGAGCGGAGCGGAGCGGAATGGAGAAGCGAGGTCGTGGCACCAAGCCATCCCCCAGCCCGGTCCCTCCTGCGCAGCCGTCGCCGGGCCCCCGGAGGGATCGGAGACCGAGCATGTTCGAGAAGGAGGCAGTGAGTGCCGCCCGCCCCGCCGGTCCTCCTCGTGCCGGGAGCGCCCTGGCCCGCGCGCCCGACCTGCCCGGGCGGTTCCCACCTCTGAGTTAGCCGCTTTGCACAGAAGCGCGCCGTCGCCGGCCCAGATGAGCATATGTGTACCGTAGGTACATGGGGAAAAGCTGGTAGGAGAGACGTTTGGAGTGCTTAAGAATTAGCAGCCTCAGAATGGAAGGTTTACGCAGGGAATGAAATTGGATATTTTCTGCTAGCTTGATATTAATGGGAGCGTTCGTCAACTTTCATTAGTGGTAAAATACAGTATTTCCATATGAATGGACTTTGAAAATCATTAATATAGTTAGTTTATTGAGACTTGGAGGGGGAAAAAAATGCTCAAGGATACAAGACGTTAATGATAGAACTACAACCAGAACCTGTGTCCTGGAACTCCTGTAGTGGTTTCTCATCACACCTACATCATAGAACCCATCATCAGTAGGATTAATATGTAAATACAAGGCAGAACACAAAAGTTCAAGATCATTCCCAAGTTAAAAACAAAAAAGTGAGAACTCACACACACAAACTCCCCCCAAAAATGCTAAGCCAGCATTGCAATTTCTAATGTCTGCTTGGTGGCTACCTTTTGCAAAGGAAGGAACAAATTAATAGAAGAAAAGTAAGTAGGCCACATTCACACAGAAGTAAGACAAAGCAGAACAAAGCTGGGAATCTAATTGTGTTGCATTTAAAACTAGATGTTCCCAAACTCTGCCTATTGAAAACTTCCTATACTGCAGACAAGAGTGACTGCTGTAAACTTATTGCCTACTAAAATTGAAATTTGAATGAGTCTCGATTCAAGATGAGAAGACACGGAGCTATACTTGTATATAGGCTAACCTCAGAATGAGGAGGACATGTACCAAAGCAGCGTATGTTGTAGTGGCACCCCCTCCTCCACCAGTGCATCTTAATTAAGCTTCTCTAGAGACCCTCATCACAATTGTTCTTATTAACAAAATATCAGCAAAGATCTCTGCAAAAGGGCTCCTATTTCCTCTTGCCCTGCTTGGTCTTGCAAAAAACTAAATTTAACTGTGGACTTGATGGCTGTTACTCTGCTTTTGTGGTATAACCTGTTAAAATCTCTGACTGTTCCAAGAACTGGGATGAAAAGCAGTTTCTGAGAACTCAAAGAAAAAAATATATATACTTTTATGTAGACTTCTGCAAAAATGTAAACCTCCCAGCCGCCCCCCGCAAAAAAAGAAACTGGGTATAAAGTCCAAAGAATTGCTAGACTTGGGATCTAGAGGAGAATTTCATGCATGAGCCACACTCAGGATCGGCTAGCTGCAGTCAATAAACCTGCTTTCTGAAAATTCCTTGGGTGTTCAGTGTCTTCTGTCCTATATCAATATGTTATAAATATGATGAAACATAATCTTTAAAATCTAGTTTTCTAGAGGTAAGAGATTTGCATAGGCCAGTAACAAATCATTCTACAAATGTTCACTAAGTATACATAAGGACACTGACTTGTAGTCATTTTTAACTTTCAAGTAGTAGATGATTTCCATATTTCTGAATATAGGAAAACTTAGGGATCAGTTTAACCAGTATGAATAGCTCTTCAGCTGTCCTGCATTCATGTCTTTTCTCTAGCGGTAGCACCTCAGTTTTTCTTCAGAGAACTAACTCATCCCCCATCGGAGAAAGTTTCAGTGGAATTGGCAGCCCCTTTCTTTACCTTGGAGTGAGGATGAAGCCCAGATTAGTTCAGTTAGATGTATTCTTTGGAATGATACAGAAAAAAAATGATTGAGGTTGATCCAGATTGCAAATGCAAGCTGAAGAGCCCCCATGTGTCTTTCTGAGTCTAGTGCTAATCTTCTAGTCTACCAACTACTCCTGTATAATACATTTTTGCTTTACAAGAATCAATTTCTACTGCTTGTAAAGATCTAAAAATTTAGATTGAAAAATTGATAGGTCTTGTATATATGCATTTGAAAACCTTAAACATTAGCAAATAGCATTGAGATGAACATTAATGACATTTAATGAGCAAGCTCATTTTATTCTGGGACTGTTAAGTAAGTTTGATGTAAGGAGATGCTGCATCAGTAAGTGAAGTAGTTAAACTCGTCTTGGATTAGTAGATACCAAAAGGTGGATCATATTTCTAATTGAGTCTTTTTTTTTTTTTTTTTGTACCAGGGATTGAACTTGGGTACTCAACCACTGAGTGCCCTATTTTGTACTTTGTTTAGAGACAGGGTCCCACTGAGTTGCTGATCACCTCACTGTTGCTGAGTTGGCTTTGAACTCATTATCCTCCTGCCTCAGCTTCTTGAGCCACTAGGACTACAGGCATGCACTATTGTGCCTGGCTACATAATTGAGTCTTAAAAAATGAGTACAAAGACTGTTTCTTAAAAGAGTAAAATACTTTTAATAAAAGCTTACTAAACCAGGTGGCCAATCCTATACAGAAAGAAGAAATGACAGAGATGTAATTTTCAGAATAGTCTCAAAGGGTTAGTTTGAGAAAGTGCTTGTGCACCAAACCCATGAGAATCATTGCAATTGGGAGCTACTGTTAATAATACAATGGAGTTATATCCCTTCAGTATATTGTAGTGAAAAGGAAGGTGGCACTTTATATTAAAGAAGCACTCTCAATAAACTTAACAAAATGACCCTTTTTAATAGATTTGGGGAGCAAACAATGCCTCTTATACAATTAAAAGAGGCATAGAAGAGGTGATCAAAATAACATTTGATGAACTTCTACTTGTAGCCAACTTAAAGTAACTCCTACCAGAAACTACTTGAAATGGTGCAGGAAATATATGGAGCATTTGGCTAGATGTCAGGTACTACAGGACAGAAATTTTGGAGAGAGGTAATGTGAGCCCCAATATTGCCTCCACCTTACTGCCTGATGAGTTTCCAGGCTACCTTAAATAGCATCAGACCTCAGAGGATCAGAAAGAAAAGGTGCATGAACAGCTTGAGAGCTGCTGACGGTTTCCTTGAGTCTTCAGCTTAGTCTTTCAATTCACTTGGTAAGAAAACCACCTGAGATCAGAAAAAGCATCACTCAAAAGGAACAGAAGTGAATACATTGACCCACACAAAATAGTTGTGCTCCCACCGATAAGAGCACTGAAGGTCCTAGGACTTTTCATGTCTTGGCATGTGGTCAGTGTAGTGTGAAGTATATCACCTCATTAGTGGGGAAAATGGCGAGCAAATGTCCAGATTTCCCTGGTCTGCCCTGGTGGAAAGCAAGACTGAAGAGGACCAAATCCTTCCCAAATCCCTACATCTTAGGAGAAAGGTAAACAACGTTTGTGGTAATACAAAGATAGCAAGGTGAAATATAGAGTCTGGTGTTCAAATAAATGTTGGTAGACTTACAAAGAAACAAGAAAAAAAATCCCAAAATGAGAAGAAACAAAAAAATAGGCCCAGGAATCACACAAAGATAGGATACAAGGATACTAAAGTTGTTTTAATAACAAGTTCCTGTATTCGTTTTAATCAAATTGAATCATTATATCAAAGCAGTTACGACAATTACATTCCATGTAACCAAGAATGTAGACAAAGATCAAGCGTGTCAAATCCAAATGAGACTTCTATAGTTGACAATGCAAAAATACAGTGTCAGAGATGATATGCACTTAATGGAATTAAAAGAAAGAATTAGTGAATTTAGAAAGAAAATATTAGGAGATGGCAGTGAGCTATACTCTAAATTCAAGTGGCCTCATATTCTTGTAATTTAAGTTTTCAAATGAAGAGAAGAAGGGACAGATAAAAATATATTTGAAAAAAATGAGATCTCCAAATATGAAAACAGTAAGCCCATAAATTTAAGAGTCTCAATTCCAAGCACAAGAAACATGAAAATCATGTCAAGATATACTTGAACTAATGATTTAAAAGTGTAAAGACAACTAGGAAAAACACATGTACAGAACATCAAAACAACAGCAGACTTATTAGAACAATGCAGTTGAACATTATCTTCACTCAAAGAAAATACATAAACCTAGAATTCTATACCCATCTAAAATGTTTTGAAAACAAAGAATTCTCATTTGCAGTTCTTGATATAAGGAACGCAAAGGCATTACTCCATTCTAACAAGTAGTAAAAAGCTGAACAAACTGAAAAAATATTTTTAGATATGTTAGAGAAGTGAGGTTGTAGGACACCTTTGCTGCATCTTGAATTGGCGATGGACAAGTGATAGAATCACCGCACACCAGAACCGAGCCTGCAGAAACCAGGTTCAGGGTGTGGAAACCGGAGATGTAATTGGTGAATTGCTAGGAGTTAGGTGTTTTTCATTTTCAAAGTTAAAAATTCTAGAGGGACTCGGACATAATGTGGCCCTCTTGCTTTTTGGGGGATTTATCTTCAGAAGTTGAACCATAAATATCGCAGAGTACTCCCTCATGCTTCTGGCAGAGGAACAAGCAAAGCATGAATAGGTAACATTTTTAAATCCATCAGAATATTCTGTTCTTAACAAGAGTTGCCCTCAGGAGGAACTAGTTAATTTTCAGAGTAACTCACTGAGTAAAAGGAATTCTAGCCCGTACTAGCCATTCTGTTTCATTTAAGGGAACGTGGGGGGCACGGTGAAATTCATAGTCCAGATGCAAAGGCTCACTAAAAACCTGATCTAATCATAGGACTATGTAATGCTTCCTTTCCTCCTGTCCATTACCATCAAATTACTGGAGGCCCATTGACAATAGTTCTTTTTACCCAATCATGTATGGCTATAAAGAAAAAATTAAAAGGCATACCAAAAGATTAAAAAAAAAAAAAAAGCCCAGCATCAGAAACAGATAAACAGATGGGGATTATCAGGAAATTTCAAACTGATTAATGTGTTGAGGAACATACTTCACAAAATAGCATAACACATGAACAATGGAAAAAAATCCTAAGGACCTCCCCCCCCACCCCCGCAAATGCTAGAGCTCAAA